TTGCGATTGCAATTCCAGGATGGGGACGCCAAAGGTAGAGAGTGTCTGCAGTGACACACACGATCATATGAAATGACTCGACTGTAGCTGTAAATACCAAAAAAACGAACGGAGGATGAGCCAGCGAATAAACACAGTGATACACTGTATAGAGACTATGTGTGACATGCAAACTTTGTGCGAAAGAAAGAAAGTTAGAGCACCAGTAGCTGTCTAGAGGGGGTGTACATTGGCATAGATTGCATACAGGCTATTATATTCGGAGTAAAGTGTCTCCACGATAACGCACACATGCGCGTGAATTTTGTGCATAAGAAGCGTTGAAAATGTGCGTTCGAAGACCACACGCATGATGTTAATATTATAGGCACCGTCTACTCAATGGGGTCGCGAGATATCGCTGTGGAACGATAGCTGGCTTGCTATCATTTGATTTTAACGGGATTGGCGGCTGGAAGGCTAGGTTTCGAGGTCTAATAAAGGCGCGAGAGGTTGCCTTTCAGTCGCCGATCCTACTGAATCAAAAGGCACAGTCAAGTACATTTTCCGCTTAGTATAGTGTGCTTGCGCTGTAGTTGAAATGCGGTAAAATTTGCGCCTGAACAAATAGCTACGCCTATAAAGATCGCAGTTGAGCGCGCAATTTGCCGGCATTGCTGAAGTGGTATTTGTTCACGCACAAGATCTACCGCATCTCACTTACAGTGCAAGCACTTAAAATACGCGGAATGTACTCGACTGTGACTGGGTGATTTCCGAACACCGCCTGCAAATTGATTTGGTAGCGAATGTGCTCCACCCGATGCGTCCATCTCGCCCAAGGTGGGTGTAAGTAATGAGCGCTGTAATGGTAGTCAAACACATGAATTTTGCGGTTTACAAGAAAGTCAGATTTCAGTCATTTCTAGCCACTTTAACGCATTCGCGACAATATGGAACATCGGTTTGTCGTACTTTTGAACATTGCAAGTCTACGATTGAAGCTGACATTTTGCTCAAAAGCGACATGACACGTAAGGCTAGATTGGCTGTGCTACAAACTCGTTATAAATCTAGAAGTATAACCTTTGATCAAACAGATAGGCGGTTGGGAGGCGGGTACCTAATCAGTAGAGAGTGATCAGAGAGCATGCGCGCGGGAGAGACGCAGGTGCGGTGCGGGTGCAAGCTGTCGCCCTTCCAGCCGCCTATCGCATTTCAAAGGGTGCAAGGTGTCACAAAAGTAAGCACCACTTTTCAAACGTTAAAGGCACCGTCCACCCAGATTCTCGACTTCTATGGTTTGTCGTTTCGGGCCCTTCTCATGTCCCTGAATTCGGATATA